AGTTACATTCAGAAATGTTTCTCACTCCAAACGGGTTTTTACATAGTTATTGTGCGGGACTGAAACGTGCATCTGTCATAAACCTGTCATGTTCTCGGCAGGCTTCTGGATTTCGGTAGATGCCCTATTCCCAACCGGCAGTGTACTTCCCCCGTTGCATGTACACTGGGCTTCGGACTACAGCCCGTAACGTGAGCTAGATCACACTGTACTGCAGTTTCCCCCGATATCCTGCCGAGATGTGACCGGGGAAAACGCGAATCAGTTGTTTGGTTGATTTGAAACATATCGGCGTCGGAATGCACTGTAATGTATAAAAACCGATACCGTTCAACTGGAGTGAGTTGATTGTGTACGGTAAAAACGTGTCTGAAGCTCTTTTTCACACTTCCGGAAATTTATCGAGGTGATCCCAAGAGAAATCTGGTCATCGAATGTCACCCTTCGAGAAACGTGGGTGCATTATGCATTCAAAGTGTGCACTCTCCAATTGAATTTTATGGTAATCACTTCTGAATCGATGGTTTAATTCCAGTCATACACAAAAAAAATAGTCACCAATTCACCAATTTTTCTTTGAAAGCTTCATCTCAGTTCCCAAGAAAGAACTATTCAAAAGGTTCCTATTTAAGGGGTACACACACAAACAGCCTAGCACAATCACTGAGAGCGGCTATAAATACCACTTTCCTCGCATCCGAACTTAGACTAGTGTTCTCTACGAATGCAAGTGAAAGACAAACTGCCGAAACTGACCGCATACATAATAATTTACTGTTTTAAGTGCCACTGTTGCGCATGTTACGTAGGTTGCACTGTAAGGCGTTTGTCTCAACACGTTAAGGAGCTCCACCAGCGATAGTTGTGTCAAGGAGAAACCGGCTGTATCTCAAGCACGATCGTGGGGCATCTCGTCGACACCGGGCGCAAGATCGAACCAGAGAAAGCTTTTGATATGGTTTATCACACCCCACTCAATCGATCGAGGGCGGCCCGAGTTTGGGCACTAGCTATGGCCTAGGCGGTCGCCAATCGCCTACTAGGCCCCAGCCTGCATGTCCCAAAACGACTGGTGCAGGCGTTCCAATTGCCTTGACCGGGTGTGTAAATCAAGGCAGAACATGACGTCGGGAAAGGTCACATCAACTAACAAGCTAAACATTCCTATATACATACACACACACACACACACTTCCATTACTCTCTGCCTCTGATTATTGACCTTGAATTGAGCCAATCGCTATCATTGTTTAAGAACTTTTTCACTATATAATACGTAACAGCATGCCTAGGAATATTCGAAAATAATTGTTCGTTCACCGACTCGTTTTTCTTTCAGTCACCAATTCATTTACAACAGGCATATTTTTATGATAATCTTGATTAAAATGAATGCGAAAATTTGCCAAAACAGTTTCGGGGATCTTTCATTGTCGGTTGAAATCTGGGTGTGGGTAGGATACGCCAAATGATGATCGAAAAATGGGCACGAGTGTTATTTCGGTGGAGGACAAATCGGATCGCAACACGGGAACAATCCCGGACGCAAATTCGAGTCGAGTCGAAAACTGCGGTTGCTGTGATGCGTCTGAAGAAAACTCGCACAACAATACAGTCTTGCCTTATTTTGATAAGTACGAGTGATAATTTCCAATCCTCGGTTATGACTGATAGATCTGCATAGTTCATCTAGGTTCGAGAAAATCACCGGGCACAGTCACGGAAAAAAAATAGGCTGAACAGATGAACTTTGCATTCGGAAATGAAACCACTTACGAATCTAACTCGGGGATGGGGAGGAGGGGGTATCTGCATGATACCGTTTCTTTGCATGTGATAGGACCACCCTCACGTCTGTCAATGGTGTGTGTCAACCCATGTGCATTTGCTAGTGTGTTTTCTGGTGATGGGGACAGAGGTCACTTAGGGTAGATCGGGGTGGCTCACAATGAATTCACGACAATTGGAATGAATTAGGTACAAACCAAATGGTGTGTGTGTGTGTGTGTGTGTTTGAGATGGTCGAATGTGAAAACACATTAGCAAACCTAAGGGGACTGAACTTTAACCATGGAAAATAAGTCATTGATATACCTGGGCCACATAGATCGTGAAAGCTCAGTCATGAGATGGAATATCAGGTCCGAACAGCCAACAGATTGGGATAAACCACTGGTTACGATCTGTTCCACAAATTCCCGAAATCTAGGACGTATGGCATAGTTGATTCCACTTGATCGGGTCACTTCAACAGTTGGAATCCATTGACCCGGTTTGAGGAACGGGACTCCAGACATCGTGGATAGAACAAAAGCAGCCAACGACCCACTTAAACAGCTGGTCAGATCATTCTATCCTCATTCGACCTGAATCAATCACACTGTTGATGAAACGGTGCAGAACAGCTATACAGAGCTAGCTAGCTTATGGTAGGCAAAAACTACCAGCGTGTGTTGATTTCTCGTGTGTGTGCAGTGTCCGTGGGCTTTTCGTGCTCTCCGTGCCTTTCAGAAATGAAATATGACGGGTTTTCAACATCACATTGTGAATAAGAATACAATGTCAAAGTGAATCTCAGAGTTTTATTATGGGAATTACTTACTTCTCTTGTCCCCGTGGGATATGAACACAATTGAATCGTTTCACGACGAAAAGAAATCCCATACAGTTCCAGGTCGGAGAATATAGAGAATGTAGGCTTAAATGAATTTGTATTTGCTTTTAGTGGTGTAGGAATGTGAGGTGTACCCAAATTTCACCGATTCTCCGCTTGAAAGATTCCATAGTTGGTGCACAGACGACGTGAGATGGAACGGTGTTCCAAGTGTTGTATACTCTGGCACGGGCATTCTAGTTGATATTTTGGAAGCAGTAACTTGAAACGGTGTCCCATAATGATGTACATTGTTCGATAACATGATCAGCTGCCTACATGGGTGGCTTGGATTTTGCAGTATTTATTTCATTACCCCAAATTCGGCGATACTGAGCAGAATATGGCCCCAATGACCGTAATCTCTTCTCCTGGGTGAGGTGATGCAATTCCTTGGACCGTTTTGATGGTCGTCCTTTGGGGGGGGGGGGGGGAGGCTCAAACATCATGCGATCACGTCGCAACCATGGGCTGGAATGCAATACACTATCTTTTGTAGGCAAAGGTTTAACTTGCACAATCATATTGACAAACTAATCATTTCTGTGCGAACCGGCAACCCCCATCCTCTGACCGTGAGGTGTTGAGTCACTTTAGAACTCTACTGACTTAGTAGACTTAGTATCACGTCGGGCTACGGTAGAGCTGCTTACAACTGTTGATCACACGGTGACGACGCAGGTTGAATCCGGACAATGAAGATGACATTGAATGAAACCACTGAACCAACACCATCGCTACCGGTCTCGGTTAAGTGCATTTCGGTGTGTGACACCTACTCGGCGTGGTAGGTTTCTTACGAAAAAAAAATCTCCCGGAATTTCTCTCAGGTTTTCATCCAATTTTGTCATTCGTGGTGTCATTTCTCTTTGTTAATTTTGCAGTCCAACTGAACAACTCTTCAAGTGAATGAAAGGCGTATTCCGATGACACTGAAAGACACTCTGTGTAAGCCCTCAAAATGCTACGGGTGACAGTAAAAATTAATGAACCTTGATTGGAACCTTGAATCAATCAACTGATTGTCCAGAGTGATATTTCCACTGCTCTGGTCTCTGACTCACCCATTTATAGGTTGATTGTTATTACTATTCAAGGGCTACTACCCGACAATCCCAATCTGCTATCACCCATTCTGAAGATTTTTGTATATCACTACTTCCGTATTTGAAAAACCGCCCTCAAACTTTTCAAACGGAACGCTCTTATCGTTCTGTAAGCGAGAGTGATGTGCTCTAGCCGCATAACTCCGTTGGTTTTATTCGCGGTCGAACTAACCAAGCCGAACTCTGGTGGGTTGATTGAATTCCGCTCAGGGAGCACAAGTCTGAATCTCACTGTGGATCTGCGCGCGCAGTTTATTGCCACTGTCAACCGTTGACAAATACACACACTCATACACGCGCGCGCATGCGCACAGAGCGACTCTCTCGTGTTCAGCGAGAAACAAAATTTGCCTGTTTGCACGCGATAAATTCATCACTTATCTTGTCATTTCTTATCATTTAATTTCACCTCTTTCCGAGCGCGATGTTCCCAGACAGCGGTTACCAACACTGCACAAACACAAACAGTGGCTTCGTCTACAACTCGGTCCACGTCTGTGAGTCGAGGCTATGGTGGCGGTGGTGGTGGTGGTTTGAGCACCAGTAAGCGACGAGTGGACAAGAAAATTATAAGAAACTTTGTTGCACTCATCCTCACCAAGCTGACACACTGCCGCACACACACGCACAAACACAGTAATCCACACTCCTTCTGCGTAAATTTGTGTGTATGTGTTTACGCGCATCCACTGGATGAATGGACAATGAAGTTGACACAGGAGAGCAATAATTAAAAACACGCACTGGTCCCACGAACGTAGGTTACTCGTTATTTCAACGGGATTCGTTCGTCTCCAGCAGGAGCACTGTTTGGTACGTACGTAGAGCACACGAAAACGATGTCAATTTATCCAAATTCACAAAACAGTTCAGATGTTCGACTGTTCGCCTGCCGATTCTGTTTACCCCGATCTGATAATTAACATCTTCGGTCACCTCTGTGTGCATAACCGGACCTTACCATTTCTATCTTTCTCTCTCTCTCTCTCNCACACGTCTGCCGATGCTGCAACAACAGAAGTACGGTCTTCTGCAAATTGCGAATCCCCGCTTACATAAGAACGGGAGGGTTTTACTCCCAGTGGGGGAATGGGGGGTAATTCGCTTCAGTTTTGTTTTGGTGAATCATCGTACCTGAAAGGCGACGACTGCATGACAGGATCACACAGACAATTGTGCAAAGGTCGTAAAATATTCCCATTGACGCATAAGAACAAAGTCAAAACGCGAAAAAAATTCTTTTCGCTATCTCGCTTCAGGCATATATATATATATATATATATTTCGATTAGTCAGTAGATTAATACAAGGCCTAGGCTGAATGACTTTCTGTGTGCAAAGTTTTCTGTTGACAACAAGCTGTGGGATCACGATAATTGGATAGGGAAAAGTGGAATGAAAAATGTGTGAACTGGAGATGATGATATGAAATGTGTTAGTCCAGAATGAATAAAACAGGTGTGAACGTTTGCGAAAACAAAAACAATGAATTGGGAGTGGGGGAAAAACGGGAGGGAGAGAATAGAAGGTGTCACATAGAGAGATATGGGTAATTAAAAACTTGAATATTCCCATGAAAGCATTAAGAAAACCAGTCGGTGAGCTTAAAACTCCTTCTTTATGGATCTTCGGGAGACCATACAGTCGAGGGATGATGGACTCACATGGTTTTAGTCTCTCGTACGCAGCATTGTCTATGTGCCCCTGTAACTTTAGCGCCTTTAGTAGACCTGTGCTTTCACCCTCCACCTCTTCTGTCTCATCCTTTTCTTTACTGCATCTAGAGAACTTTTTATCATCCGAAATTATTTCAAAGAGCTTTCGAACATAATCATTTTTGTTGATAAGAACCACCCCGGTGCCTTTATCCGGTTTGAGCAGCATGATGTCTTTGTTCATTTTGAGTTCCCTCAGAGCGTTTATATGCTGACGTGTAAGCGGTCCGCGGTTGTGTATGTGTACCTTTCGGTGCTTATAACAGTTTGCAACCAGTAAACTTTTAAACCTTTCCAAATCCTCGTCTGAAAATTAGGTATCAAATCCTTTGTTTGACCCATCAGGCTTTCGAATTGCACCTCCAAATCGATTTGGTTAACTGTCTTCGGGGGGCAACAAAACTTCCATCCCAGTGATAAGACTTCCATTTCTGTAGGAGATAGCTTCCTGTCCGACAAATTATGCACGAATCTCTCTCCGGTTTATTGGGAAAAGTGGACATCTGTGCAACCTTATGGGAATCCCGTAATAAACGTTCTCGAATGATCTGGGCGCGACGCGTACAGATTTGACTTACGAATATGTTGAATTCCAATCGTTCATTCTCCGATAAATCGTCCACAAAATGCTACCGCTGTAGGATATTCCGTTCAAATTCCGCAGTTTTAAATCTCAATGAATCACAAACACTCAACACATGTCTCCTGAGGGTTTTACTGTTGGGATAGATGCGATCTCGGGGTATTCATTGTTATTCACACAATTATGTAAAAAGTCTACTTGAGTGTTAGCTTCCGCAAAGCGAGTGGAAAATTTCAGGAACGCGTTCCGTTCCTTAACCAAACAGGGATCCTTGAGCGATCTTAAAAGCTTGAACAGTCCCATGATAGCATAAAGAAAACGAGTAATTGTGAACGGGTAATTGTTCTTATGGCCAGGATCTTTCTTACGTAATCCTCTGGCGTGGTTCTTAGGTGCAGTGAAGAAACTCGCAAATGATGTTTCTGGGTCAATCCGGTGTCCACTGTCGACAAAATGTTGCACGATTAAGCTGTCCAGACTTCTCACTGTTCCTTTGGGAAGGGAGGCCGGACAGTGTTCAGATATTCTCTTGGACAAACCCTTCGTTTTGTGTCCGATATAACGAGCACTACAAGTGCACATGAACTGATATAGAACAAGAGATTGGGACTGATTAGGCAATTTATCTTTAAGTTGTTGAACAATGAATGGCCTAGTTCTGGATGAAAGTTTTAAATATGCGGCGGGAAAACAGTTGGAAATGGCTTTGGATAACCGATATTCCAGGATTTCTAATTCCTTGTCTCCCTTGAAGCGAACGTTGGCAAGCACCTCCTTCTTTCTTGCCAATTGAACTTTTGCATCGGTTGGTTTCGATTCCATATGTCGTCGAACCAACTCCTCTGGGTATCCGTTCTTCTTGAGGATGTCTTTTATATAGGTCAGCTCTTCGGTCAGAGTCTCCGGACTGCAAATTCTCTTTGCCTAAGCCTTGTATTATTCTACTGAACTATATATGTAAATACCTGAAGCGTGATATCGAAAAGAAATTTCTTCTAGTTTTGACTTTGTTCTTAATTGTGCAAAGGGTTGACGACATCGTACACCACTACGGTGGAGATTAGTCTGTCGGCTTTCGCGCTAACCTATAAGCAAGCAAAGCAGGCAAAAGATTACATTGTGTGTTTTGGAGCTTTTGCGGGCTGCTTTTCTGATATCCGCATCGTATTCCATTTTGCGCATCCTACGTATTGACTGCCAACGTACTGTTTGCAGCTATTTGTTAGTCATGTCGGGAATCTACCTTTATCCCAGCTAGGGCGGCATGGAAGCAGACGGTATTTGATTTAGGGGTTTTGGGGCATGAAGAAGTGAATGTAAAACGGAGCGAATGGAATCGTACAAAAGTCCGTGGTTTTTTGAGCACATCCATTTCGGCTGTTTGGTTCTGTGCATGCCTTCATCCCAGCATCGATCCTTTTTTGTGTGCTGCGGTTTGGAAACAAAAACCCGATTGGCTCAGTTTCCAACGAATGCTTTGTTCGGGGCAAATTCGTGCCCGAAAGACAAGCTATAAAAATTTTGATTCCTAAATTATTTCATTTTTGAAACAACATCTAAATCACATAGTTTGCATCTGATAGAGTAAATCATCAAACGCTCATACGGAAGTTGTATGGAATCCGAGAACTCATACTTGGCTGGATCGAGGAGTTTCTTCGCCTACGTACCATGTCAGTTCGGATTTTTGATTCACTTTCTGATCCAATAGATGTCAACCGTGGGGTTCCACAAGGATCTGTGCTAGGCCCACTTCTTTTCCTTGCCTTTATAAATGATCTTCCAGACTTTCTCGGACCACAAACTCTGCTGTTTGCAGATGATGCCAATATATGGGGGACAGTAACATTTGATCTCCAGAACGCCCTTGACGAAGCCCACAGATGGTCTGTCACCAATGATACGGAATTCAAAGTTACCAAGTATAAAGTCCTATCACTACGTCACAATGGCTGTTCTCCCTACATTCTCGGACACGAAACTCTGCCTTATGCTCCATCCGAGAAGGATCTAGGAGCAGTCATGCGTGCAGACTTCAGTTGCTCCAAAATCTGTTCCAGGGTATCATCCATGGCGGTAAAACAGGTTGGACCGCTCAAACATGTTTTTGGATCTTTTGAGCCGGCGTTGTTTCCACGTCTGTTAGCCACATATATCCGTCCATACACCGAGTAGTCAATTCAAACCTGGAACCCATGGCTGCAGCGAGATCGGAAAGCACTCGAACANAGAGAATGGCTACCAAGATGGTCAAAGGTTTACATTCCAAGACCTATGGCGAAAGATTACAGCATTTGGGGCTATACTCGTCTCAATATCGTCAAATCAGAGGCGATATGGTCTTACTGTATCGGGTTTTCCAACAGCCCAACCATCCATATGGATCTCTTTTGGTTTTATCAACCAATCTTCATCTCAGAGGGTATCCACTGAAGGTGGCACTCCAAAAGAGTCGTCTCGCCTGCAGACATCATTCGTTTGCAGTCAGAGTGTGCAGCAAATGGAACTCTCTACCACCTCACGTGATCTGTGCGCCAACATTAGTATCTTTCAAGCGTCTGTTTGATGATACTCTGGCAAACATTATGTTTCAACACGGAACTACATAATATATTCTCCTGTGCTCGGCAAAAATATTACATTACTATTCTATTTTCACGGACTAACTGTGATCTTGTGAATCATGTTCCAAACCAAGGTGTAAACATCCAGTGGGATTTGAAAAAGCGAAATCTTTGTAATTTGTTTTCTGATAATAAAATTTTGAATTTGATATTTTTGTGAAACAATTAATTCAGACAACTTTTGTATGTCATTTCAGTTCGCTCCTCTTCACCTTGCCATTTTATTTTTTTTAATTTTTTATCCAACCACGTCAGCCTCCGTTCGATGGGGAAGATGAAGAAGAACTGTTCCGAAATATTGCCACTCGTGATATTGTATATCCGCGGCATATGTCACGTGAAGCCACGCTTATGTGCAAAGGCGTAAGTGATCTTGGGGATTTGTTGTTGTTGTTGTTCGTTTGTCATCAACTTTATTTGCTCACGTCTAATTTGGTGTTGGCTATCAGAGGTGGTCGGGGTCAGGGTCGGAGTGGGGGTGAGTTAGCTCAATCCACCTTGCTCTTGCATCTATCAGTAATTGTGAGCTCGCTTGCTGCGGGCCGTTTACTCTGGTTCGTAAGTAGTTAACTGACTTTTCTGTCTGTGCTGCAACACACTTTTACATACATTTTGCAATTCAATTTTTCACAATATCATTTCAGGATGTCCTCAGCATCATTTCCAGTTGTTCGAATATCTCATTTGAAGATGTCTCATGATCGATTCAAGCTGTCTCGTTGACCCCATCAGCACTGACAAGCCTGTCTGGATGACCACCATGTAGTACAGATTTCGCTGCCTCCCGCTGAAGCACGGGGGAGGGGGTTGGGGACGATTGTGAAACATGCCTTGGTCACACACTCCTCAATTCCCATGACATACCTTTTGGTTGTTTATCCTACAATTACGCGTACGCGTTTGTGTTTGTTTGTTTCCCCCCCCCCCTCACACACACACACACACACCGCTGATAATAGCGTTCAACACTTGAGCCATTGCTTACCTGCGTAACATGATGCTGCAATGGAATTGATAAGCGAAACAGCTCGTAAGTAATACACGGATAATTTCAAATGATGTTCAGACATCTTGAATTGATACTGCGGAGTTCAAGCTTAGGGAGAACTGCCCGCCCCTCCCTCCGTCCCAAAACAAGTTTACCAAAAGCGGAATATTTGTCACAGTTCATGTCTTGTTTACTCTTTGGTCCTGATAGTGTAACGCGTCGCTTTGTTTTCGTACGGGGCCAGAAATATTGTGATTCTCGCGTGGACATGATAGTTCATTCTAGCTGTTTTTAAAATGTAATTCAATCGTGTTCCCAAACTTTAGCTGCATTTTCAATGTGCAAAATATGAATAAAATAATTCCGAATGCAATGACTGACACCGTTTCGGGTGTCACAAATGGAATGGGGGAAAGTCGAACTGAGTGTGTGGGGTGGAGTGGATAAAGACCGTGCGATCTCCCGCGTGAACCCCATCGTGCACACGACGAGCACTACCTGGGCTAGTGGAATCAATTTTCTGAGCAGGTCAACTTTGAACATACAGTAGCACTTAGTTGGAATGGGTTTGGCGAACAGTTTTACGATCCGAATATCCTAAGCTATTTGCAACACTCAAAGTTTTGCATGTTTTTAGACTAGTTCATGATAAAATTTAATTTTAACGTATATGGTTTTGCCGGTGTTATCCTTTGATTTCACGAAAAATGCTATTTGGAGACAAGGGAAACCCAAGATGCTATCAGAAAAAGTTTCTCGCACCGAAAAACGGGACTGAGTTGTCCTCTTGCTATAAATAGAAAACCGGATAACTGTTTCTGGTTCTGGGTTTTTCCCCTCAGCAAAATTACACTCAAAAAGTTGCCTTTTCAATATCGGTAATGATCGGTTAGTTTTGTCAGACCCCGTTGTTCTAAACTTCGCAAGGGAGTCCCCCAACTGCCGTCGCATAACGAAAGTATGTTATTTGCGGTTTCGGGTAGGTTATTAACTGAAACGATCTTTAATCAACATCACCGAAATAAACTTCCGCCCACGTAAGATGTTACCTCGCAATATCTGTACACTCCAAGTTACGGTTAAACTGGTGAGTCTTGTTATAACCGTGCATCGTGACGTTAAATCTTTCAATGTGTAATGCTGTATAACAAACACGTTCTAGGTGGATCAGGGTGATTGATTATTGGGATTCCAAAAGCAAACTCTGTTTTTCACCTCATGTGCTGTGGTTCCGGGTTCGATCCCCAGTGAAGTTAATCTGAGTGCATTGGGATTGTTGCCTAACAGTTAGGTACAGGCAGGTAGTATGTACCACACATGCAATTAACTCTCGTTTTAAACATACGCTTTGCAACCATACAGAGCTTTCAAGATTTTAAGCCTTCGGGGATGAAAGCCAAATAATCTATGATATCAAATTCCGCTTTGAATTTTCTCAACGTCTCTTCTTTGATGTAACGCTTCATAACCATTTGATCATGCGCGCTAGCATGCTTCACTTGCTTTGTGAACTAGACCATATCATGATCATTCCTCCAACCGCTAGTCGCGGTTGTATATTTATAGGAATCATAGATAGCTTGCTATTTATCGTAGTTTTCTCCCGGACTTGATGCTCTTCGATTCAGTAAAAAGACCCGATTTGGAGTACAACTGAAAGAAAGATCGACCAATGCACACCTTCGGAATATAAGGGAACAGTTCGGTAGAACAGAGCAGATCAGAGCACACAAAAACCCAGCACAATTTTCCTGTCAACTGATTCACAATCCGCGTTTAAAAGCATTACCCTGAGACGGATTTATGCGCGATTTGTGATTCTGGCTCGAAATCATGTTAATATCTACCGGGTTTGAATGATATATACACAGGTATCGACCGGGAATAGTTAAGATAGAGAGGAGTCTGGTATGCACGGCATCATGTACATTCTCATATAAGTCGAGCAGTTAAACTCGCCCAACTCGCTCAACACCACATTGACCTTGAGGTGTTTATTAATTCAGACCCAACCAGGTCGAAACAGCTGTCCAGTGCTTCCGAGCTTTTCAGTTCACGCTTCATTTGCCATATACACGACGAATTGTCATTTGAAAATTCAGATAACAATAGTTCCCGTGATCACGATTTTCGAGCCGTGCCTCAAGTGAAAACCTGATTTTCCAAAATCCGAACGAGAAACAGGTTTCATTTGGAAAGTGAATACGTCACGATCCGTCATTCACACTCCGTGTGGCAGTCATGTAATTCACGGAATACGTGAGAAGTCGAAGGTGGATGGGTTGTGTTTGTTTGCACCATTTGATTTCATTCCTCTCCCGCCCGCCCACACACCCAAACACACGCATAATGATCTGTTGTGTTACCATTCCCTGTTCAGTTGCTCACACGGGATCCTCATGAACGTCTGGGTTGTGGATCGAACGGTGAACGGGACATTCGAGAGCATCAGTTCTATCGACGAATCGATTGGCACAAAATTGCCACCAGACAAGTACAGCCGCCGTTCAAACCACGAATTGTAAGAAGTCGTTTGTTGTTGTTGTTGGTCATTTTCGATCAATTCTGTGACCTTTTAACTGATCTTGTTCAAGTTGAATCTATTAGCGAATTCAGAAAGACAGCACGTCCGTACCGGTTACCTTCATGCACATTTCTACAGTAATGCATACGAATCGAATGCTCGAATAGAATTTTGTAGCACATTCGGTCGACGAGTTTCAGACATGTGTGCTGTTGCAGTTTCCGGTACGTATCCAACTACTGTGATAGTGGGCCGGGCTAGACTTCAATATCCCAATAGTTACATGTATGTATACTCGTTCCAATGTAATAGGTGTATGTAATTTAATCGACAGTACACTCGGTTTCGCAGTCACTGAATTTGCGAATCTTGATCTCGTTATGCAACCTGATCAATTATCGCATTGTTTATTTCATTCGTTCGTTTTTCCTTCTTGTCGCACCAAGACGGATAGGCTATGATCTTTCATCGGTACATCCTTGTTAAAGAATATCTGCTTTTTCATCCATTCATCCGAAAACGTCAAACTTAGTGACAGTCTCCAGTCTAATAAAATGAAACCGTTTGGAAACTGATTTTGAGTTTAGAATTGATCGGTAAGTGATACTCTCGGGTCGATAACTAGACCTAAATTATAAGTAACAACAAAAGATGCACTTATAACCATCGATCAAGTTGATTTTACCTCGCAGAATAATCTGTGGAACCAGTGAACTGGTCTAAAATAATTTATCATCCTTTCGTAGCGTTAGGTACACTAAAAATAAACAGAGTTTTAAAAAATGTTTTTTTTACTTCCTTTTTTCTATTTATTGAATATACAAATTTACAGTCAACTTTCAGGAAGAGGGATGGGGCCATACACAGGCTGCCTGGGGAAAATACAGATATAGGGAAGACGGGCGGTGGTGGAGCGGTTTGTACCCGGGACACCCAGGTCACTAGTTGGTGACCTAACCACTTAGCCACTTAGCCTTAAAAGCTACAAGCTTAAAAGCCTAATAAGTAATTCATCCTAGGGGATTCGATTACTGGTTTCCATTATTGAATAGCAGGTCTTCGTGGCTGTGAGATCCACCCCGACTGAGGTTCATCACACAGTAAGATGTGCAACAAAAAAGGTGCGGTATCCGTAGTTAATTCGGCGTTGCGAGCTGGTCTTGTATGGATATTGGCCCGCTAAATACCGACCTGTAACCCTGCTTCCGGTGTTATTGAAAGTGATGGAGTCAATTGTGGCAGATCCTCTGATAGAACACCTCGAAAGATACAACATTCTTTCGTCAGCTCAACACGGGTTTAGGCAAAAGCGATCCTGCTCCATCAACTTGCTTCTTCTACAAGATGAATGGACCAGTACAGTCGACGAAGTGGATGCGGTGGATACGATTTATCCCGACTTCTCGAAGGCGTTTGATTGGGTGAATCACAAACTTTTGTTGCAGAAGTTCTACAATTATGGCGTTAGAGATTTCGCGTTTGATTGGACTAAAACATCCCTCGAACAACGGACCATGTCAGTTCGTGTTTCTGATTCCATATGCGGATCTATCGAAGACATCCGCGGTGTTCCACAAGGGTCCGCCCTCGGTCCCGGCTGTTGCTCGCCTTCATAAATGATCTCCCAAGGTGTTAGGCTCAAAAACAATACTGTTTGCCGACGACGCCAAAATCTAGTACACGGCAACAGAACTGGAGGGCTCTCTAGCACTTCAGGAATCACTCAACGCAGCTTATCAATGATCTAAGGAGAACGACATTGAATTAAATTTTTCTAAATGAAAAGTCCTATCCTTACGCCACAAGCGAAAATTCTTGTATTTCCTCGGGGAGCAGCAGCTACCACATACTTCTAGCGAAAAGGACTTAGGTATTGTTTTTCAAGAGGATTTAAGCTCGTCCAACAACTGTGCCAAGGCTTTGTCTGGTGCTATGAAGAATGTCGGCTTACTTTGGAGAGTCTTTGACCGGTTTGAATCATCACTATTCCCACGTTTGCTATCAGCGTACATTCGACCCTATACAGAGTACGCCATCTAAGCTTGGAGTTCATGGCTTCAACGTGATCGCAAGATGCTTGAGCGTTCACAAAGGATGGCCACCAAGATGGTCAACGGATTGCATTACCTGACATATGAGGAGAGATTACGATCATCGGGATTATATTCTGCTCAGTTCCACCGAACTCGAGGAGACTCGATTTTGATGTATCAAATACTGCAGAACCCAAACCATCCGTGTCGATCACTGCTCTCCTACATCTAAAAGGACACCTTTTCAAGCTACTGATTCCAAAGTGTCGATTAGAATGCCAGCGCCAGTCTTTTGCAGTCAGAGTATGCAGTTCTTGGAACGCTTTTCCTTCTCATGTCGTTTGTGCACTCGCTACATCCGTACACTACTAAAAACAAACGGAAATTCACTGTAGCCTACATCCTCTATTATCTCCCACCCGGAACTCTATGTGGCTCCTTTTTCGACGCGTAACGATTCATCAGCGTAAATATCCTATGGGACAAGAGAAGCACCAGCTTGTAAGTTAGTCCCGTAATAAAACTTTCACTTTGACTTTGGATTTGAGGAGATGAATGACTAGAATCCTTTTGTGATCATTTGTCAAAAATGAAGCCGGCGAATGAGGATGATTTAGGTTGGTTTAACGCAAAACTAGCGGGGGGATATGGAGAACTAATATTGAATTACAAACACAAAACAGAACTCCTTATTGACCGATATACACATTGAAGAATGAAAATAATTGAAAGTTTATCGAAATAATCTACACCTTTTCAACTTCAATCTTATAATTAATACGATTAGCTAACCTGTACATGCTCAAGGTAATTTGTACCAGTTAGCCGTTGCATCATTGTATTGGCGGGCTCATACACACACCTGATTCTCATCTGTGATGCGGTTTGTCGTGGTTTTTTATCGTAGAATTTTCTTTGCTTATTACCTTGGGGATTTACATAGGGTTATTACATCAATCTTATGAACTCCTTCAACTGTTCATCATTTTGCTATGGATTTGGGGATCTGATGTCCAACCATCCGTCCGTTTGGAAGTTACGCACGTCACGAACAACTTGGTAGGCTACTTGAATCCCTCTGGGTCATCGAATTTCGGTCAACAACACATATACAAATATGACAACTTCCGGTCAGGGTTGCACACATATACTCAACGACTCAATGAGTGGTCCTTTTATATCAGCAGCGTCATTTTTGATGACATACATTAGTGTGATGGACAGCAGACGGGGGAAACTCCATAGTCAAGAGGACCTACTGTTCAGTCATGAAAACCGGCAACCTAACCCCCGAGACTTGGAGGGGCGAACCGCATAAGGCCCCGCTAGGTTAGGCGTGGTATTGAGCCGGACGACAGCAAAGCTGTCTACCACCAAAGTCGGGTGGCGTTGGCGGGGCTCGAAACTGAGATCATAGGGTCCAAAGAACGTCTCTAACTGTGACTAAACCACCGCGCCACCACCACCCAGTGACATCAAGATGTTTGATGAAAGGTAAAACTTCTTCCGGGTGGCGTTTGAGGGTGCGGTAGGTGAGACATAGGTAACAGACTTTCTTAGATCAATCTAGCCTCTGCTCAAGGAGTTCCACACAAGTACATGATTTCCAAATATTATAGTATTACAGTCTTTTTCTTATTATTTTTCATGCTTTAACGAATAGTCCTATCAGAATTTGGGTAAGCCTCTGCTAACTACTGTGTTACTGCTCGTGAACCGGATGTTTTCGTTTGCTAGCGCGTTTGAAGGGGGAGAACAAACGTGTTGCGAAGATTCACCGGCGTTGTTGTACGAGGTTTTGCAGCATGATTGGGGGATTGAAACAGGGAGGGAGGAGCAGAGAGCGAAAGCGAACTAGTGGTTTCGCATTGGAAAAGTGTGCTGTCCTTTTGGATCATAAACTGCTGCGCACAACAACAACAAATTCAAACGTGATTGAAAGTAATTGTATCATGTGATACCGAATTTAGTTTCTGTTTCCGTTTACCTGGTACAGGAATAAAACAGGTTTACTGATCGTGACCGGAAATGAGATACAGAAATGGAAATGGGAAGGTAAACGAGAGGGAGGGAAATGCGATGGAACCTATGTAAATTGAATTCAATTTTGCAACGGTCTGCATGACTTAGTTTAATTGCTCCTAAAATGTATTCGCAAAAATTGGTCAAGTATAGACACACTCTTCTTAAATGGTCTTTCACCAAACTAGAAGTGTTCAGTTTTTGCTTGAGCTTGAGAAAATAAAATCGTGTAGAACATTACCATCCGACGGCCAAATGTTGGTGTGCCGCCAAGTGATTTTACCAACCATTGAAAAACGTCTGGATGCCACTGTTGGTAACCAAGAGTTTTTCAACTTAACTGAATAAAACTAATCTCTGTTTGAGAGTTTGATTGGTGAAATTAAACCAAAAGGATTCCGCCGACTTGGTCATCTTTGTTGTTGTTGTCATTGTTGTTGTCTACAACGAACAAATGAGTGTATTTTCCTTAAACCTGAGTATCATGAACAAGGAAACTAAGATTTTATTGATGGGACACCTAAATCACATGTGTCTGATGTAAACATTCAAAATCGGAATTGTTTTCCACTTGCAGAAAGATCGTCGGGATGTGAGCAATTTCGATCGGGAATTCACCAAAGATGCGCCAAAAATGACTCCAACCGACAAACTGTACATTATGAACCTGGATCAAACCGAGTTCACCGGATTTTCCTATGTCAATCCGGAATATATTCTCGAAGTGTGATACAGATCTTGTACAACACCGGGAGGTCGTTGCTTTATTTCTTGCGCCCCCAATCCAACCTCCGCATTTGTCCGTGCCACAACGTGTTATGATGTTGTACCTGTCACTTTCGCTTCCTACTCCACGAGTTTCTATCTAGTCTATCCACACGAACAGAGTGACAATGTGGGCGAATGAACTGGCCACGTGTGCTCATTATTGTCCCGTTCTACCCTGTCCCTAATCGCACCTTCCATTGCCAATCGACAGCAGTCATTTTTGGATCTTCCCGTGCCCGCAGCCGATTTTACTTCCATTCCTCCTCATCTTCCAAGAATATCCCTCACAAAATGTTTTGCATCAAATAACTCAATCTTCCTTGTCCTATTCTATTCACCGGTCAATTACTCAGTCGAATGAAGTAATCACTTATGATTAAACCCGTGTTCCAATCAATCAACGTGACTATCAGTCCCTCATATCCGGCAATCAAACCAAAGGGACGGAGTGATGTGGTTGCTTCTTTTCCTGTTGTCCATAGCAGGAACACACTAAAAACCAGCAACTGGATTTTGTGTTGCCGATGCATCTGCGTGCTTTCAAAATCACGACTTCGGAAGGCGATTGTGAATCCATCGATCCATTCATTCTTTTTCCTCCCTCCGACCCCAATTATTTCTCCCGTTCGGAGATCAGCAAACCTAGGCTACTGGCTTTTGGAGTCTCCATTCAGTTGCGGTTGAATCAGCCGATGGCTGTAGACCACGTCTGTGTTTTTTCTCTATTGTCAGCTTGATTTCCTCAGATTCATAGTTTTCTTTTATCTCGTATACTTGCATCACGTTCAGTGCGTTTTACCACATCCCCTTCCCTCCCTCCCTTCGGTTGTTGATCCTCACTGTAGGGGAAACACACAACAGCTCATTTTGCATCGTGAAACTATCTACTTACTCTTCATTTCTGTAATATCCACGTACCGTATTTTTGTCCGGTCTCGTGTGGTTTTCTTGGTGATAAGATCTGCTTTTGGCTTCTCTTCTTCGAATTGGCTCGCATCGCTCCACTTCAGTTCACTCCACTCAAATCTTTCTCTCTCTCTCTGTCTCTGTCTCTCTTTTCATTGGTTTACGTTTGACCATAATTGATATGATTATTGATAATAATTGATCCTATTTTTGCGGTGTTTTGCTTTTTCTCCCTCCCCCCCTACCCCGCCCCCGCTCCATCCCACAGTCCCAAGTTCAGAATCTAACTTCTCCAAACAGATTTGATCAATTTGCTCTCAGAAAATCACAAATCAGGTTAGCGTTACTGCTTCCGGTTGGATTTGTATGCCGTCTGAGTGTTCGGTCCTTTTCCCCTTACTCTTGCACGGTTAAAAAATTGAAAGAATCATCTAGTCGTTGTGGGTTGAAAAGTGAACAAAATTCCCTGAAAATACTGTGGAATAAACTGGGAGATCTATATGTCACCAATTCACATTCCAATTTGAGTGAGTTTTCTCTTCCACCGGTTGTATATCTGCCCGTGTGGTTCGACATAAATATTCACGGTATTGTCTCGTCGTCCCTGTGAGGTAAAGCTTAGCTGATTCACTCCCGTGGTAGTGCTTTGTAATATTGCTTTCCCTTTCAAGTACGAACCGGAACTGATTCTCTGTTCAGTCGCAAAATATATGCATTCCCATATCCCATCCCGCAGTGGCGTAGCGATGGGAACTGCAACAGTTCTGGTGCCTGCAGCGCAGCTAAAATATGACTGGAATTCAGGATGGGATTAAAGGGGCAATCAACGATCCTAATTTAAACTCATCTACAGGTCTAATCGAAACTGAAGCAACGGGTCCCTGTGAACCACTGATCGATTTGTATAGGCAATACAATTTATGCTGGAGTACATTTTTTCCAAATAATAATAAACACGGTCCAGTATTGACACAGTCGGAGAGACCATTTCACAGGGATATACCTAAATGTGTGGAATTTTATCATTCAATCGTCCTCGGACAAATGATGAAGCTGGGCTGATGATGCATCAGTCATGGAAACTGGAAATCACATTAAGCCCGGTTTGTGGATTGTAAAGCAATTGAAGGAATCTACACCATAAATCCGAACTATTTAGGAGTCAACAAACTTACTCCACGGCTTCCTCCACTGGTATGCTAATGATAAGCAAAGCAACATCATAAGAAACAAGTAAAATTTGGCGGTATTCAACATCAGGTTATGTATGCTTCAACTGGAATGAATCTTTCAATCCGAAATGGGAAACTTTCGTACCAATGGGACTGATCTGTTTGGCCAGCAACTCAGCTTATCTGTGCTGAGGAGAATTGATCGTTGATAGAATCGGGCACATAGGAACTCGTGGTTTATGAAGATTTGGTAAACCATGCATATGTGGTATTCGTGGTATTCCAAGAGGTCTCAGATCACTTAACATACCAGTGAGAATCACTCCGCTTTTCCAAATCTGTTTCAAGTAGGTACTGATCCTTTTTCTTTTACCTCCGTATTGTCCTTCCTCTTTACATTCACTTGAAATCGGCCGCAATCACTGTGAATGGTCTCCATTTGGCTCACGTTTTCATCCTTGTTAATAGTGACTACTCCAGATCCTTTGTCCTGTGGACAGGTCACAACAGTCTTGTTATTTTCCAACTCTTTTAGGGCTTTCATGGCTGGAGTTATGACGGGGTTTTGGCACTCCCAGCTGATGAGCAAGATCCCCTAACCTAGCTCTGAAACACCCTTCTGCTTCTGGTGCAACAGGTTTAAGCTCTTTCAACTGGTCAGCCAAATTTTCACACTGTGCATCAGTTTCCAAAGCTGTTCATCTTTCAATACAGGATCCCAAATTTGAAACCTAATGACAATGCTTCCAATTGTTTTTAGTTGAGGTTTAATGACGACGTATTATGCACATACCTTTCGGGATCATCTGAGAATCCATTCGACCGCGATTCATTGATTGTTGACCTCAATAGCACCTTTGATAATTCGTTCTGGCTTCGGAGCTGTAATTCGCAGCTAGACGTGTCAAACTGGATTCGGCAAACTAGACTCAAGTAATTCAAGAATAAAATTTTGGAGAAGGCCTCGTGACGCATTTTTGTAACCTTATCAACCGCACTGTCAAGATGAGACTTCAACAGACGAATCAGATTGCGTTTGAAAGGCGACAACGTCTCTTTTCGTAACCGTTTGATAAACTGACGAAGATGTGCATCACTGGTCAGGCAATCTTTTAGAAAATCAAGCGAGTAGCTTCACGGGCGATTCGACAGCGCAATGTCAACAATTGGTGAAGGATTGATCCGTGAATTCGGAAAAAGAAAACCAAATGCTTTGTCAAACCCTGGGACGACGACGTAGTTGGCTGGCTATACTGTCTGAGGCTTAAACTCAACGTAAGATGACGTTTTTGACATCCCTACAGGAAAGAAAGTTTGTGTTTACTTAAAAAGTACCGTACCCACTCGCTTAATGAGCCTAAGGTTATCATATCAGTTATGTGATAGAGAAGATGGAGAGGTGAAATCCGGTTCAAACAGAACGAACCGACTATATGATAGACTGCTTCGTAAACGCAGACCGAATCTCAATCGTTGCATTAAGGGTGAGCAAAAGAATATTTATGAATTACTTCAGCACACTAAGTTGTTGAGAAGCTGTCACGTTTCTGACAGGAATACAAATGCCCATATACAGAAATGGGTACGAATTTTCAAACAGAAAGTAATCGTCTAATTAAATTGTGGAAGTTATTTCAACCTTTTACATTTTGTCAATGAAAGAAATGGAATTTTACGCGTATTCTGTCCTCATACGGTCCTTCCAAAATCTGTTTGTTTCGTCACAAATTCATGTGGCTATGTCTGGATACACATGACCTCTATGCGGTAATTGCGGTTAGAAACATGAATACAAATCGTGTGATATTTCGTGATTCTAATTGTTTCCAATAAGATTGTGTTATTACACTGTTTGATGTATGAATATTTTTGAGTCACACAGCAGTAAAATTGATTTGTTGTGATTTCCGTACATCAAACTAGTCACGTGATCTTTTTTAATCCATGCTCTAATTCTTGTCTATTGATTGATGTCTATTGATTAAATGACATACAGGACAATTGCTGCAACGGCAATTGGGATCTTAGCCGCCGTTTTTGTGCCATCTAGCATTATTCGCGATCTCTTATCCGGCTTTCTATCTGTAATCTGATATGATAACTTGTTTGACATCTTGTTGGACGGTGTAGCGATTGCCGGGAGTATGTATCACTTGGGTTCTATTGTTGCGTTCTCATATGCTTGTTCGGTCGGGGAATGCTGAGCGAGCATTTATGATTGGGTCCATGGTCAAACGAATCCGTGTTCACGCGAGAACAGAGAAACGTTTCCGAAGGAATAATGACATTCCGGGACATCTTGATTTCCAAAGCACTAGAGCAATTACGGTTTAGAGAAGAAGAAATATATTAAAAACATTGATGCAAGGAGAATACTGTTTGTTCCATTTTGCAAGCATACTGAAAAATTAAAAGATTCGAAGCGGTTTTGACCAGTTGATCAATATAAACTGCTGCTGTTTCTCCTGATGCTACTGTTGCAGCTGCAGCTGCCTCTCGTCTTCCAGTCGTCCCTCAAATCACAAGTACGACAGTACGATAGCGAGGTATACAGTGGTTTCAGAAGCTGATAGATCAATCAGATTGATAGAACTGTCAAGAAAGTAATTCCATTTGTCAGAGGATGCACCTATCATAATGGGGAGGACGGGTCATTAAATACAAAATGAAAAACGTGCAGTCAACAATATATTGATTGGAGCTTCAAACCCATTGTGGTGTGCTCTGGTATAAAATTTCTACTTTAGCCTGAGACGTTGCTTACCGCATGGGTTCACGACAAAAGCGAGCTGTTACGAGCAGTGCAGTCGTTTTCACCGTGGTGGCATCCTGTGCACGATAAAAGTATTGTGCGCCTCACGAATAGACTTCACTCATTCAACCT